GGTTAAAGCTTAATCTAGCTCTCATACATCACTTGTATTTACAATTAACTCACAATGATAAGAAAGATAAATACACCCTCTTATATTAACACATAATACCCTAACACTCTTAACAAATTACACATACTACCCTAACACTCTTAACACACATAAAGAATTTGGAGAAAATTGAACCATGTTTGGCATTAAGGCTACTGCAAAGGATGGGCTCTCTTGACCCACAACAACATGTTTTGTTGCAATCTATTTCACGTTTGATTGGTCATAATTAGTAGCTTTCTCCCAAACGAAGGCACATTTTTTGGACAACCAAACTAACAATCAACATGGGATAGATGCCTTCACAAAGAATTGATACCTAGCTTTATAAATCATATGCAGCATGCCAACTGATTCATTTATGCAGCATTGCAATATTCCCTACCCGAGCTCATCCATGCTTAATCTGCCTTTGACACAATGTGACAATCGGGTAGTGAAACTCCAATGTGGTGCATTTCTCCTGGGACATCTGTCTGGGAGCCAATAGAGGACCCCATCGTCCAAGATAAGCCTTAAACNATCTTCCTTGGGTTTAAGATCCACCAAATATTTCTTAAATCCTTTGCCTCAAAGAAAGACTGGAACAGATCAAGACCATAAAGTATAATTGATCTCATTGAGTTTAACAAAGGTCATGGAACTATTGATAAGAGTCAGAGGAGGCAAAGATGGAATAAGGGACCTAGTATCTTGCTTAGGTTCCATAATAGTGCAGTAAATAGCAAACAAGAAGTGTTGCAATGATGAACTAGAAGAAAAAAGACTACTGGAAGACTAAACTGGGCTGGAAAAGCTAGCTAGACAGCTGAACTAGAAGGCTGAGCCCTCTGGACCACTAAACCGGACAGACTAGGCATGTTGGGCCGTTGAACCAGAGTAAAAACTGACTGAACCGGTCTAAACCACAAAAACTAGCTGAACCGGGACCAAACCGGGATTGATCCAGTCTATGCTGGGACCGTGGACTGGACCCGATCTGATTGGGCCGGATCAAAACTGGGTTGCCCCGAAGTGGGTCGAGTCTGGACCTTGTCTTCTTCGTTGATTAGGGTTCCAATGGAACCTGGTCTTCAACTGCGCCTCACCACCACGATGAACCACAGACAACGACGAACGACTAAGCCCACCACAACATAGAGATCAACACCACAACAGTACCACCACTACCACGACGGCTAATAATACCACACCACCACCACCACAAGCGACAACACAACCACAACACAGAGATCAACTGCCACAATGCTTCGACAAACAACAATACCACCACCACGAACAAAATTAATTTATTCAGAATATATATTTATGATCGTAATTGCTCAGATACCATGTTAAGGGTAGAAGATTAACACACTATTATAGAGAAACAAAGAGAGGTTAAAGCTTAATCTAGCTCTCATACATCACTTGTATTTACAATTAACTCACAATGATAAGAAAGATAAATACACCCTCTTATATTAACACATAATACCCTAACACTCTTAACAAATTACACATACTACCCTAACACTCTTAACACACATAAAGAATTTGGAGAAAATTGAACCATGTTTGGCATTAAGGCTACTGCAAAGGATGGGCTCTCTTGACCCACAACAACATGTTTTGTTGCAATCTATTTCACGTTTGATTGGTCATAATTAGTAGCTTTCTCCCAAACGAAGGCACATTTTTTGGACAACCAAACTAACAATCAACATGGGATAGATGCCTTCACAAAGAATTGATACCTAGCTTTATAAATCATATGCAGCATGCCAACTGATTCATTTATGCAGCATTGCAATATTCCCTACCCGAGCTCATCCATGCTTAATCTGCCTTTGACACAATGTGACAATCGGGTAGTGAAACTCCAATGTGGTGCATTTCTCCTGGGACATCTGTCTGGGAGCCAATAGAGGACCCCATCGTCCAAGATAAGCCTTAAACGAGCATAAATATAAAAATACAACACGCGCACACAACAATAGAGTATCTTCATACTCAAAGGCATAGCTATAGAAGTGAAGGAAAAGACGATAACTTTATCTCCAATTTAAACACCCATGAGGCCAAAATGTAGCACACTGGATCTTGACCTAATGCTTGAGTTTGCTTCAAGCGTTACCAATCTTCTATGCATCTAAAACTATTTTGTCAGTGATTGAATATCAAATTTTATATGGTTCGAGAGGTGTTTCCAAATGTTTCAAGGTGTTTTGAGGTGTATCGGTATGTTTTGGACAAAGGATTTTCAAAAAATCTCAGTTTCTATTCTATTTCGGAAATATTTTTGAAACATTTGTTTTAGAGCTGAACAAAACTATACACCTAAAGAAATTTTGATGCTCAATAGCTAGATAGTCGTAACGAACTAAACACTACTTTTGAGTTGCAAAAACGAGCAGGCATGTGTCTAGATGCATGAAATACCTCAACAACTATTATGAATTTTTTGTACCAAAGTAGCCATTAAATGATACCAACGCTGGTTACGTCTAGATGCAAGTGATATTTTGAGAGATACCAAAAAATATTTTATGTCAAGAGGGGCTAGGTTAAAGCCTAGGAATGCAAGGGTTTGGCCATATAAATTGACATCGTAACCCCTACTCGGCATATATATATGTAGTTGGAATTCAAAAAAAATGTTCTCTAACTATAGTAAGATTGCCCCAACATACATTATTTTATTATGTCAACTAAACTAACTCAACAAAGCTTTTATCCCAACTATTTGAGGTTGGCAACTAAGATGAATTCAGAGATTTCATATAATTCTATTGATAGAAAAACATATTGATCCTTACTATTGCTAGGGTTTTTATATAATATCTTTTTCTAGGTCAACAGAAAAAAAAAACCCTTCAAAGAACATGCCCTGCAGTTTTCTAGCAAGATAAAAAGAGAGTTCGAGCTTACTCAAGCAGTAGCAATAAGGATACTAGAAGTGAGGTCAAACTACCACTAGAGTACGTGTTGGTGGATTCATTGCTTAGCAAACCCGATTCCTTTTGCTTAAGTATGTAGGACACGTGGAGGATAGCCAAGAGAAAGACTAGCAAGCCCCATAAAATAGGTTACACATGTGCGCCCTTGAAAGGATGCATCCTCTCAGGATGATTGTATTAAATAATACCGGCGAATTCCGTATAAACAGATAAAATACAAGATTAAATATGGGACAAAAATACTACGCATTGCAATTCAGTGTTTGGTAAGGCACTGAATTAATAGTGAGATAATAGAGTATTAATTTCATATTAACCAAAAAACGATCAAAATTGTCTAGTTATTAATGTTTTTGTTTATTTGGTGAGTAAAATAGTAAATTTATAAGTTAATACATTTGAACTGATATTATAATCGGCTCAATAGTACGGATTTATTGTATTATTTGAATAAGCATTTAAAATAAGACTATATATAATACGGACTATTTTTTGCAACCAAATGCAGCTTAAAGTTGAATAAGAGAATTTTAATCTGTTATGATTCCTTAATCCACCATTTAATCCTGCAACCAAATGAGCACTCATCATTTAGTTGACCTATACAATCCCACCTTCAAGTTCAAAAGTCTTAAATCCAACAACTTATACCTTATAAATAGGATATCAATTTGTCTGAGGTAGATGGCAAAATTAAGCTGGAAGTTACTTTTTTGATCCTATCGAAGTACCTCGCAATCTTTTATTGTGTTGCTGAGAAAATCTTCCTCGAAATATAAGTCAAAACTTTGAAGGAATTGTCTTCTCCCCAATTTGACTATAGAGTCGCGGTCCCTCATTATTACATTGTGGACTTAATGGCAGATAGATATTAAATGAAGAGTGAGTGTTGGCCTTTTAATATTTCATCTATTCTCTTTCCCTCCATTTAGTAATCATCAGAGGATTGCAAAGTCAATGATGGGCATGTTCAGAGGAAAAAAAGAGGATTGGTGTGGTAGGGAAAAGTAAAGAACTGTCGCAACTTGTTACATCACAAGGTACATAAGAAAACGAACTTTCATACTTTTCAGCGGGTGGAGCTGCCAACTGTTGAAACAAAGTTGGGTTTCTGCAGACTTTTTTACCTTTCGGCAATAATCGGGCATATCTTTGTTTTCTGGGGAACCATAAACCATAAATAATTTGGACAGACACTATTATGAAACTGATAAAGGTGTTTTAGGATTCATGTTCACCCTTTCGTCCATTACTCACCAGCAAAATAAAAAGTTCTCTCCCCTACCCTCCCTTTCTATCTTCTATTGTAGATATTTCACATCATGCTCTTCCTACAATTGAAACCCCGCTAATGGTGCGTAGACATCCAGAAGATAATAGACAACGGATTCACTGAAACTGCTGAAGTACATCCCAGAAACTACAACTTTGGTCAAATAGGTTGTCCGAAAAAACAAAAATCTCTACAGCAGAAAAGAAGGATATGATAAAGATATGAAACTAATAACTACATCCCTTTGTTTACAGAGGTAGGTAAGGCAAACAGGAGCAACAAAATCAAGGCATGTGCAGGTAACTCTGTTCTAACAAGGTCCATTCAATCAAGATTATTGTTCACCCAGTTAAAAAAATCCAGATTATACTACAATCTCAAGGCTTTATGATTGATGAATGAATTCTCGAATAACATTAATAATTTGTGGCAAATATTAAAATTTCAAAATGACAACAATGACAAAATTAAGGTATATGCAACCAGAAAAGCAATGAGAGCTTGAAACTTTTTGAAACCACTGGTTCAAGCAAACATACTACACCATATGCAAAGTTGCAGTTGTACACTAGTTCTCGTGACAAGAACAAACATAGTGAGATATAAGTAACCACATAAGCATATCATGTTCTTACTAAGTCAAAAGAAAACCCACTAATCACAAAGGTAAAGCAGCAATAGCCAAGATTAATGTGTGTGTGAATCGACGAAGACCATATAGGAGAGTACACTAGAACTACAATGGTCATTCACCTGTGCTCATCCTCTGTCCAGGCGATACCCTTGCGGCGCTCCTGATCTGACCTTGAGGCCTTACCTCCATGATTAGCATCACTGTTTAAGTGCCCAAAATTGCCACTCTTCTTACCACTTCCTTCATCAACTGCGCGACTCGTTGAATCATCTGAAGAAGTATCATAGGAAGGTAGAGGCACACAGCCCGACTCAATCCGGTTAATGTCATCAACTAATAGCTCGTAGTGGTCTTTAATCTCTTCTAAAGATTTCCCTGGAACATCTTCTGCAATTTTGTCCCACCGATCTAAAGAATCCTCAGAATAAGTTGCCAGGGCAATCTCAAATGCCTTATCCTGCTCTCTACTCCATCCGGAGCTGTTGCCTGATTCATTGTCCGTCATCTGAGTTTACTTGAATCCGGTATCAAGTGTTATACCCACAGGAATATTCAAAGAAACCCACAGAATTACTCCCACATCTAAGCTGAAATAACCATCTGCACAACCATGGAATTCTCTAGAATAGTACTTCAAACTGAGATCTGGGTTATTTGTCCAAGTGGGTATGAGTACAACTGGTTAGTCGGTAGATGTGTCAGACACAGAGGGAAGGAAGAATAGAAACAAAAAAACCCAAAAATAGCCAAGTGAGATGAGAACACCTCAAATAAAGATCACAAAGGAACCCGAAGAGAAGAAGATACTGACGAATACAATGGTGATTGGCTTCACAGTTGATTAATTGGGTACATTGAATTTCTGTCCCTCCCGATGAAGAAAATGCAACAGGTTTGGTTAGACCATGAGAAATATCTGAAAACCATAAACTCAGAAAAAGCAATAAATGCCAATTTGGAACCGGAATATAAGAATGGCAAGAAAAAAAAAACAGAAATAAAAGAAAGTAGAAAAGCAATGGTGACGGTGAACTCAATTTAGTAGTTAATAGGTGTGCGTGCACGATCCTGCACAATATAAAATGAGAATAAATTTCTCTTTTGGTGAACTCGAGTGAGTCAGTTGAGTGGCCAACCATATTGCTTGGAACAGCCTGCGAGGTCCGGTGGTAACTTGGAACGGCAACGGGAGACCCTGGGAGAGCGGAAGAACGATCCAGTAAGACTGAAAGAAAGGTTCTTGGAACAAAGAAGAATAAGTTAGAAGGGCGCCGGAGTGTTTTTCGGCGTATCCCCTCTGACGATCTAGTCAGTCTTTGAGAGAGAGAGGAAGAAGAAAACACTGATTATGTATTGTAGCAAAGATTTTTTCTTGCGTACCGTCTTGCCTTTTGCAAGGAGTATTTATACCTCAAAAGCTCATGATTGCTGTCAGTGTAGTCAGTAGGTGATCATTAGGTACAGGCAGTGTGCGCACTGATTCTGATGCGGAATGTCTTCTCCTCTTAACTGTTCGGGGTCCTGAGCAATCAATGCTGTGTCATCAGGATGCCGACGGTACGATGAACTCCTCTCGGGGAGGATGCAATAAATGCTCTGTATTAGGAACATTTATTGCCTTTCATTTCCGAGCCTTACCGCATTGAATGCAGTCTTGTCAAGGGAATGGTGTAATTAATCGTTTGTTTTCCCAAGTCACGTGTCAGCAACGGCATGCGGTTTTTCTGTCTTTGATGTGACATCATATGCCACGCGTCCATCCCTCATTGGTTGTGGCCCCTGCATTCCTGTACGTTATAACACCAATTGTGTAAGACGAGGTCATGATGAATAGCCTAGACTAGCCTAGGCTAATGACCTGTACGTCAATAGCTTATTCTGGAGCAGAGGAGGCGTCTAGGATGGGATACCTCTCGGCACCAAGGAAAGGCACATCTCGGAACCGAGGGAGGTATACTGACCGAGGAACCATATCAGACCGAGGCTACGTGTCGGTTGTAAAACGTACTGAATGTCATGATCCCATATGATGAGTACCTCGAGAGCGAGGGACCTTTGTGAGCCGACGGTGCTTGATCTTAGCAACAGTGTTCTGGTAATACCGAGGACACGTGTCTTCATCATGGAGTATTTCAGAAAAGTCCCATCAATAGGGTCTTTGATTTGGGTGCGAAAGAGACCACAATCAATCCAAACAAAGAAGAAAGACCGATGTCCGAAATGGATTAAAAAGAAAAAGAGTATTCAAATTACCATTTCTGATACCAACAAAAACCAGTAACCAAAAAACCCTTTTTTTAACCCAAAAAAAACCCAAAAAAATCTTATTGATAACAACGTTTTTGACAGAAAAAAGTATAAAGCGTACAACTGTTATCTCATTAAATCGAACTTTTTCCAATACCCAATCTCCTGAAAAACATTTTCTAAAATTAGTCACTTTTAAACGTATTTTTCAAATCAAATCTCGTTTTAAATACTAATGTTATTGGGACATCATTTATGAACAAAATTTGAAAACTTAATGCATTATAACCGTTGCATTGATAGTGTTGAGATCCAGTGATAATTTAATGTTGGGATCTACTGACAATCTAATAGTCACAATCATTAAATCCTCAAATTATGTATTCAAATTATGTTTAAATAGCATTGCCCCTTTTTTAAAAATATCATTTGAATTAACGTCTTCATAGTTAAAGATGTTTTTAACCTTGACAAACTTGAACAAAGACTGCATAAGTTAAGGAATAAAACGTCATTTTAAGTCACACCTTTAAATACGTCATTTGGAATAACACTTTGAAATATGTTATTTTAAACGGTGATATATGAAACTTAAAAACGTCACTTGGAATGACGCATTTAAAGTCATCATTCTCCATGACGATTTATACAAATAAAATTAGAAACTACTTTCCCAAATCACAGAAGACTTAGGTCAAAATTTTTCAAAGATCCACCCTCTATCATAGCTCTATCTTGTCTCCTCTAAACACTCACCACCATCTTCTCTGACGACAAAGACCACTTTGGTGAAACAGTCTAACTCCGGCAGCTTTTTTGCCATAGTGCTCTCTCTGAAAGTCACGATTTTTATAAGTTCCCCCAATTCAAATCACCATCTCCTCTCCTCCAATTACTGTCAAGTTATAAGCTCTCTCTCTCTCTCTCTCTCTATCTTGATAAGTGGTAATCATTGTTAAGTAATCTCATATCTTTATCAGTATAATCAGTGTATTGTCATATGACCACTTTGACAGTGTCAAATCATACCATTGTTTTATCAGTGTATTGTCATATCACAATTTTAATAGTGTCAAGTTGTATCATTACTTTATTAGTGTCAGGTCATGTCATTACCTTATTAGTGCCAAGTCATGTCACAACTTGGTAGCGTGATGTCACATCAAAATTTCTTATAATTTCACTACAATTTTAAAATGCACAACCGCACCTAAATAAATCATCATTCATAATTGTGTAAATCATAGGGAAAAAATGTTTAGATGCACATCAAATAGGTAATCCAGCCAAATCATCGAATATTCTTCATCGCACAATGAGTAACATAGTTCATATTCAAACAACAAACATGTAAAACCCGGGTAAATTTGAATTTTTATGAAAAATGGCAAAACGGTAATTTGTAGCTACAATATGAGTGGAAAACCTAAAAATTTTTAAAACTCGGATGATGAAACGGACCACACCGTTTAATTCGTTTCACGAAATCTAGCTATCCCTTTAATTTTCGTCGAATTTCGAGATAGTTAATTTTTGTGTGTTTTATGAAGTGACCAGGTGTCAGACGACCTCATAAACAAATCAGGGAATAAAATTTTAAAAAGTAGATGATAATTTAAAGCTAGTTCACATAAAAATATTTTGAATTTGAATCAGGATGAAATTTAATCAATTTAGGTCAAAATTGAACCCAGAAAAATAGAACGTGTGGCGCAATGAGGACCAAGTATTTGGAGAGTATAAAAGGGAAAGAAAATCAGATTTTCTTCCCCAATTCTCAGCATTTTACCCATTAGAAAAGACAGAGGAAGAAGAGAAAGAACAAGGGTTTCAAGCCTTCTCTCTACAATTTACGCCTCCACGTTGCTCGAGTCAACATAAGCCAAGAATAAAAGTTATTCTCCTCATCGAGAGCTACAAAACCATACCAAGAAGCATGGGATTGGGTGAAGTTCCAAAGACAAGGCTTGCAGAAATCAAGGGTTTGTGCGTCATTTAGGATTCTTGAAGCTTCCTACCGTGGTTTTATGCTTCAAGAGGTAGGATTTTCTCCCTAATTAAGTTGATTTCCAACCTAGAGTGATTATATAAAATGAGTAGGTTGTTAGAGATGTATAATACTTACCTATTGTTGTTATTTTGATGAAATGGGTATTGGAATTGGGTGAAATCAATTCTAGCTTGAATTGATATATAAAAATTATTAGCTTGTAATTTCTTGGAAGATTGTGTTATATGGGCATGCTATGTGTTTATATTATGCCTTGAAGAATTAAGTATGTTAATTGCATAAGATTATGTGATAATATGCTTGAAAAGTGTCATTGAATAAAATGTTGATATATGCTTGATGATGTATTGACATTGTGATGAAATATGGTGATTATATGCTTGTGATATAATTGGCCATGGTATGTGTTCAAAAGTGGTGAAAGTGGTTCATGTGGTACTTATAACATATTGAACATGATTATAGTATTGCAATCGTACATTACATTGCATTTACACGAAGACATCGTATTCATGGGCATTAAGCATGAGTGTGGGTGTGTGCGTATGGTTGTCATCAAACATCACACTTGGTGGATGATGGGTGGGCGGGGGAAATTTGGATCGAAAATCCAGCTGAGTCGCACGATTTGCATTGAAAATTGGGTTAGGGTTAGCAAAAATTACTAGATTATCCCTCGGGTGCAAGACCCGGCTACTTAGGATACACACTCCCTTGGTTTAGTCCATAAAGTGTGTCAGTGTATGTGGAATCGTTGGTGGAAGTACATAAATTCCTTGTCGGTTGGATGGTTGTTGGTGTAAGTCCATATATACCCACCCCAAGAAAGACCAGGGAATTTAATGGTCATTGGATGTGTAACATCAATGGGTGGGGCTTGAAATATCTAGAGTAACACGCATGACATTTGCATGTGTTAAGGGAGTTGATGAAGGCTCGGGTTGATGTGCATGAGTGAGTCTCACCTCATTTCATGGCATGATATAGTGATTGTTATCATTGAATTGCATATTCTTGTGTTTGTTATTTGTTATATTGTGCATGTGAATATTTCATATGCATCTAGGTTGGAGAGTAGCCTCTTTAGAAGATACCCTATTGAACGTGACTCACCCTTTATGGGACGATATTTTAGGTGCAAAGTATACACCGATGGATGGCTCTCATTTGGGCTCTCAAGGATGAAGAAAAGCTGAGATGTGACTTTATTTTGAGTTTTTGTAAAATCATTATGAAAACTTAGTTTT